TCAAATAAATAAATAGAATGAACCGGATATTTATTGATGTCGCACATTTGATCGGATTTTCATTATTCTCCATTTTCTTCTTTCAGAGGAACCTTCTTTTTTTCGAAACATTTTAAAGCCACCAACCCCCTAACCCTTTACCAACCTCTTTCTCTGAGAGAAAGAGAGCTTCCGACATATTCAATTACAACATTAGCAAAGTTAAATGGCAATTCAAGAACCTTCGTCATATTTATGCGGAAGAATAGGAAACACGCGTAAACTGTACATTTATGTAGCAGCCTTCATAGCAGCCTTTATAATTTTCTTGCTGACCTCTCCGCAAATAGTTCCAGACTCCGTTTTGGAACATACCACGATAGACGAGGAGGGAAATGTGTTTAGTCCGCCAACTGAACAAATCACAAACGACTCTTCTATAACTGACGAGGACTCTCTGGAAAAATTTCCAGCAACTATAACTGATGACATAGATTCTTTAGAAGAAAAAGAGGGACATTATAAATTTTTATTTCTGATAAATTCAGATTTAGCAAATTTTTCGAGGCGGAGATTAATTAGGGATTGGGTGTTTGGGATTCGAGATAACATTGTACCGCTTAAAAGTAACGAAAATCTTATTTATTATCGATTTTTGACGCGGAAAATAAAGTCGTTTAAAAAAAACGAGCAGGACGTTCAGCGTAGATTCTTGTCAGAGTTTATAGAGTTTGATGACATAGTTGAACTTGAATATGACGAGAAAGAGGAAGGACGGCAAGAAGCTACGCTTAGATGGGTAAATTATTTAATCTAATCAATAATCACAAGAATTATTAACATACGATTTATTAATTTTATTAATTCGTGAATTTGTTATACTAAAGTCAAATAGCCTTGATATCACATACGATCATCTCGTTATCATTGATATCCATACACTAATAAATTTTGAAAAATTAAAACAAATGATCTCTGGCTCATTAATAATACGCGGACAACAACCTTTGACACACGAGCAAAAAAAAAATTTATTATGGGGCTCATTTTCCAATCTGGATGCCGATGATATGGCCGTAATAATTGGATCAGAAGCGGTCGATACAATTACGGAATCTTTGTCTGAGATTATAGAATCCCCCATTACTGAAAACATTAATTCTTCTAATATATTAACTAAAGCTTATTACTACTATTCCAACAAAAAAGCTGAGACGACTGTTCCAATCCATCTGATAAATGATGATGACTCTGGTGGAATCGTAGAATGGGCAAATGTAATTGAATCAATTTCTCCAGAATCGACAATTTTTGTTGGTCATCTTTTTCAAGATGGTGAATTTGTGGACTTAATTCAATGGCTAAATGTTTCGAAAACATTAATTCGTAGTCCACCACCATCAGTTCGCTCCGATAACAATGAAAATAAAAACGGGGGCTTATCAATCGCAATCGTTACTAGTAGCTTTGTCTACAAAGATATGTGCATGGTTAATGCCGTTGTTCCAGCAGCCGATAATAAACGTGAATATGCAAAGAAACACGGTTACTATTTTGTTCCCAGATTTGCAGAATTCGCTCAACAAACGTTTCGACATCGAAAAACCGTTTGGGGTAAACTCGATGCTGTTGAAAAGGTTTTACCATATTATGATTGGCTCTTTTGGGTAGATATGGACGCGGTGATTGTCAATCAAGAAATCACTATTGAAAGTTTACTAGAAAATTTCACATCGAGAGTTGGAGGTCCTGAAGCATTCAACCAGAAACATCTTATTGTTGCCAAGCCGAGAGGGGATGGAATGATTAATGCTGGTGTGTTTTTATTGAGAAATACAGAGTGGAGTAGAAAGTTTTTGAGAGAGGTGCAGGGTCGAAAAGCTCAATATTTTGGAAAATTTTATGAGCAGCGTGCTATGTGGGATGTGATGAATGAAGATGAATGGAAAGATGGGGTACCTATTTTTTTTATCATCATGTTAATTTACATCATACTATTATCGTGTTACTAATTATTTTTTAATAATATAGGCGTTACTTTTGTCAGATGATGATCACACATTCAACACATTCCCGAAAAGATACAAATATGGAGATTTTGTAGTACATTTTGCGCCTGATGGGTGTCCTGCAGCTCCCGTAATTAAAATTCTCAGCAAATTACAGACATTAAAAGAAGGCGCAAAATTACTAGAAAGTGACTTTAACAAATAAAGCAATTTATTTTAATTAAGTACAAAAATTATCACGTGAAAAAAGTGCAGTTCAATAAAAAATAACAAAATTAGATATTAACAATGTCGATCATATCGCCAAGTAATAAATTTGTCTTTAAAACTATTATGAACGTAATGTGCTTTTTGTAGAAAATTCATGCAGAATTAATTACTTTTTACAAGTTATATAAATAGTATACAACAGAGAATATTGCCATTATTCAAGCGGAGTAATTTTATTAATACCAAGTTTATATATTTAATAACTGAAAAACTCGGATAATTATAAAGAGATTTAATTATAAGTATAAATAATAATAACTACAAAGATTTAACTTCAAGTTTTTGTCTTTTATTTCAATTAATAAAGTTTCAAATTCTAATAATTCCATGCATTTTATAATTTTCAATTTCAATATTATAATTGTCAAATAGATTTATTTATAGCATTAATAAAGAAATAATCTCTAGAACTATTAATACAGAAGTTGAATTATAAATTTTTTAAAGAAACTTGTACTTTATAAGAAATAAATATGATATTACTCTCTGCACTTTTATTAATCAATTCCATAAAATATTAACACCAATCAAACTTCAATTCTCCCATACAGAGAACCACTTACTATAATCCAAGCGTAATAGCAGTTGATCCAAATGTCTTGGAGGTCCACCAATCCCATCAGGAGTCTGATTAACTCCGGAAAGTGTACGAAACAAGAAATTCACTTGATCACGAAACTCCTTAAATTTAAAGAAAATAAGTAACAAATCACGATATGTTGAAAGAATTTTTCCTTATTATTGAGCTTACATACCTCATTTACTCGATTAATTTGGCTTAATTTTTCATCATCTTTTCGTCCGTCCCATCTTTCTAATAACGCGCATAAACGATCACATATGCTCAGCACTTTTTTAATTGTTTCCGCACATACACGTGATTCAAGAAGACATCCTCGTTGGATATCATTAAGATAAGATTGATGCCCCAATCGGATTTCTTCAAAATCTTGAAGAGATTCCGTTTTAGTGTCAAGTTTTTGTTCTTTGAATTTCATTATTTCCGGATTTATGGTTGAAATTGGAGTGCTAGGAGTTTGATTTGACGTATGCGAGGAGCCATGACGTGCAGATGAAACACTTATTTGACAAATCAATTTTTGAAAACTAGATTCTATGATATCCATCTTTGAAATAATTTCAGAAGAAAGCACAGAGAATCATAAATTCATTAAATTTCTTTGGCATATAATAATATGATTAAAGTATAACAAACCTGTACATGGCTCCATATGCATTCAACAAAAAACATCATTGATGCTCGTGTTCTCCATATTATTAATGGTAATTCGCTATTATTATCTCGTGAATCAATTGATTTACGTAGAGCGGAAAGATGTACCCATGCTTTATGTAGGCGATGTTGCGTGCGTTTTAGTGACATTAAGAATGAGAACAAGTCTCCGTACTTTATCAGATCTTCAGAAGTAACAAATAAATCCAATGGCCAATTTACTTGATATTCTAGCCTAAGAGGAATTCCAATTACAGTATCATCAAATAAAATACTCGTTGATGATCTTTTTTGATCATTAGAATTCACCAATCTGAATCTGAACTTTTCAAGTGTGAGATCATTTTCAGCTAAAGTTCCCACAGAAGCAAGAATAAGTAGAGAGTTTAATTCTTGCTCTTTAACAATAGGCGCTCGTGTTGATATCAGTCGTGAATTTACCAGTTTCTCAAATTGTTGTATAAGGGAAAGTGCAAAATCGCCTTGCCCTAACAAAAAGTAATTTCTGAAAGTTTCCAAGCATTCAATGACCTTATCCCCCGTCAATACTACTTGCCATAACCATTGAGCCACATTATTCCTTATAATACTAACAACATTGTCTAGCTCAGAATCATTGAAACTGTGCTTAGATGAAAGTTCTAATAAATATTGAAGATGCATCGAGCTTAAGTTACGAGGTAGCATGCTTTTATTACGATATGAATGATCCGCATTTCTTACAGTTGCGATTGCCCTTCCGACAAATAGAATCGAGTCTGCAATCTTATGAGGTATATAGTTAGGGATTAATGATTCATCAATGAAAAATCTTTGATGCCTTCGCTTTTGGTTGTTTTCTTCATCAAAGAATACTTCTTGTGAATCCTGTTGCTGCTGCTGCTTATTTATAATGGATTCATCCTTGATAAAAAATTCACCAAACGTATCTTGCAAATATCCATAAACCATCCATGAGGATATATATTGATACAAAACAACATGACAAGCGTGCACCAGTTTGAACATTATTCCACGAAGTTTCGGAACTCCTGTCTTGCACCTCGCAACTAACAAGTTAAGAATACGGCATCCAAAATATTTGACTGGATTCGCTTCTAACTCATCCACAAGTTCATGAAGTGTTGATAAAATTACGTGATAGTCTGAAAATCTTGAAACCATGTCAGCGACGGGTATCACTCCGTCCTCTTCAAGAATACAATCCTCTGACTCGAAAACAAGTTGCTGATACTCAGAAAGGGCAGCATCGAGCGCGTTACATAGGGCGTCAGCAAAAGAGCCACGAAGAAAAGTTTCTGTTTCTATAGTGCTAATAAAAACAGCGGAATTGATACCGCGATATTTATTTATAAAACTAACAATACATCGATAATGAAAGCCCAACTCAGCAAGTCGCTCTAGCGCGTCACGTTCAGACTCATGTAGAAAGTTGAAATCTGGTGGTATTTTAAAGAGTTTAGGAATATTAGGTTGAGGTGGATAAGGATTAAATAAATCACCCGAAACACCGCATAAAGCTGAAAGTAACTCGTGATGCATTATGTATTCTGGCAAAGAGAAAGAGCAACTCTCGTATGTTATATGTAATGACGCGTTTGCTGTAACTAAATCAAATAATGCACATTATTTTAATTTGGATATATCATCTCTCTTTGTTTAAATACAATATATTTCTCGGGAGCAAGAATTTGGACCCGCAACATTTCAGATTTCAAATATTAATTTGTACGCGAATATTTTGCTATTTTGTTATATAAATATAATAAATATATTCCTTCATAAAATCCAAAAAAAAAAGAAATATCCTAAAGATAATAAGTATATTCCAAACAAATTTAAAAATAATTATAGAAAATTTTTATATTATATAAAATTTTTAATTAGAGTTGAATATATTCTTGAAGAAAATAAAATATAAAATTTTTTCTCAATATTAAATTTCTAATTAATAATTGTAAAATTTTTTTTATAATTTTATATAAAAACTTCAGGAACCGAGCAAAGATTATAATTACGCGAGCGAGACTCACATTTTTCTGAAGTTTCTTTAATGTCGCAACATCAGCCCCCAACCTTGAATTTACACGCGGCTACTAAAAAACAAAAACTTAATGATAAAAAAGCAGGCAGTACTACAACTCCTACTTCAGGAGGGAGAAGTGTAGGTGGAATGCTAGACAGCGCCAAAGGTAAAAAGTTTGGCTCTGGAAGGGGTGGGAATAATACGACTAGAATAGAAAGTAGTCCCGTTGGCAAGAAAACTAGTATAACTAGTGCTACTGACGCAACCGCTGCTACCTCACATACTGGCACCACGTTACGTGCTGTTGATAAACAACGACGGACAGTATTCAAGGCTGTATTAGACTCGCCATTTACTATAACCTGGTATATATTGATTTCTATCTTTTGTCGCTTTTTAGTTATTACTTGAGATATCAATTGAAATACTTAATTCCGGTAAAGGCCTACTATATCAAAACCAGATTTAGAAATCATTTTTGAAGCTTTATGCAGGTAGATATATGGTTTTATTGATTTTCCACTTAATTATCAAAAATACCTGGCTTCAATAAAAAAACGTATTTTCTAAATTTGAATATAGAGTGTTATCATGTATCGGTGAATATCGTCTCAAAAAACGAACATATAGAAGATCGATCAATAAAAAAAAGAAACAAGGATCGATAAATAAAAAGGATGAGGAGGTTCGAATGGAAATTAATTCTTCTCACAATAACAATGATATCACTACTACTAATGACTACATGGATGTGGATGCAATCAATGAAAAAAATAAGTCGTCTGAATTGGTTACAGTGGCAGATACACAATTATCGTCGTCAATATATGAACAAAAAGAAGCAAACGTTTCAATTTCTTCTGGTTTTGAAGAACCACCTTCGATTTTTTATTCGTTAATATTCGGAATTAATGCGGTAACAAAGCATCTTGAACAAACTATGAGTTCTCATGTACAACTATCACCTTTTTATCACCGAATACAAAAAAAAGGAAAACATGTGGATACTACTACTAATGATGACAATAATAAAGTCAACAAATTAAACTTACGATTGATATTCGTTGCAAAAAATGATATCTCGCCTGACAATCTATACGCCCACCTACCCACCATGGCAAGCATGCAAGGAAGAAATCTCTTACTTGTTACATTGCCAAAAGGTGCACTACGACGACTAGGACAAGTGACTGGGATGAAATCAGTTTCGTGTATTGGCGTTTTGGCAAATGATGCGCCTGAATTGAATACTCTTTATGAACTTGTAAAAAGCAAAGTAGAACCAGTAACAGCTTTTTGGTTGGATCCTATTCGAAAAAAATTTGCGCGTAAACGGAAATTTGAAGAAGAGGATTATCAAACAATTAATAATAAAGTGACATCTTCAAGTGTCGTAAAAGATAGAGATGATGCCAGCATCGTTTCGGCAAATAATAATAATCCTTATGTGCTTACTAAAATAAAGCAACTTATAACAGCAGCCCCGGTAAGGAATCAAAAGAAAGGGAAGAAAAAAGAAAAATCTAGTTCACAAAAGAATACTCAACAAGAATAAGTCCAAAAAAACAAGGAACACAACAAGAACAACCAGAGAAGGGACGAAATTTTTCATGATAGAAATTGTTTAATAATAGCTTTGTTCATATATATTATCTAAAATTGCTTCGTAAACGCAAAATAAATATTAAATGTTATACATGCAAGAAACCAACCTATTATTATTCTAAACTAAATTCTTTATAATGAATGACCTTTAGCGGCGATAATAATGACGCTTGAAATGGAAATGTAATTGAAGAACACCACGATCAAAGCTCGACTTAAATCCTTTCTTGTGAGAATATTCCCATTCACGATTAACTATACGGAATGCAATGTCCTATAATAGCAACGTAGACTGTTAATCAATGAAAAAATAATAATATGAATTCATATCTACGGAATGTTTATGGTTACCTCATACGGTGGTCCTGCAATAAACCGAATAAGCACAGTATCGTTATTTCCAGATTCACGTTCAATCTTGTACGTGGGCGCCTTTGACTTGTCAATAAGATCCGGATAAAAGATATTAAATTTATATCCTTGGACCACTTTCGGCGGTGGATTGTCACTGTCGTAGTGCGTCTGGTTGTACTTGTTCCATTCATAGCCAGTGTGAACGCGATTGAAGTATCGTGGTTTTCTTGGACGATATTTATCTTGCCATAAATAAGTCTAATAATAGGGAATTTAAACAATGAGCATATTTTATAATATTGTTTGTTATATGATTTAATAATAACGTAATAAATACATACTGTCTTTGCCAATTCTTCTTCAATATTGAATATTGCCTCATCTTCATCCAGATCTTTGGCAGCTTCTCGTTCGTAGAGAACTTTGGATACCTGGTATTATATTAAAATAAATACATGAGTTATCCAATAGTAACGAATTGAAAATAATCAAAATTAATATTAAAAAATAAAAGCTTACGGTTGATTCCTCGAGTTCTTCTTCAGGTAAAGTTCTTTTCGGCACCTTCATAGGAATGTATTGATTTCTTAATACCTCTTTCCGTTTTTGTTTCTGTAAACCGGAAAGAAATAGGTGAATAATGATGCGCTTAATGCATAAAATAAACTTCCAATTAGACAATTTAAGATCGAATATCCATAAAAAACACACCAAATGCAACAAATCATCGTTTGGATCTCGAATCTCGAGCATTTTATCTTCTCTGGAAAGCACAGACAAAGGTTCCGGACTCATAGATCGATCATATTCTTCAATCAACCCTTCCGAATCTTCATCCATTATCGCTTCATTGTCACCTTCTGTAGTGTCTTCACCACTGGCACCAATAGCTTGGCCAGCGGGATGAGTATTGAGTGCTGTCTCGAGCTCTTCTTGTACTTTAATAGCTTCTTGTCTCTGTTTTCGACGTAATTGTTCTAATCTTTTTTGTAAGACGATTTCATGCATGGCTTTTAATTTTGCCTTTATTTTAAAGAGCCAAAAAATCGAATTTTTTTAAATATTATAATTAAACAAAATGTCAATTAAAAAAGATCTGATGGAAAACATACTTTAGCCTTCCACACCGTTGAAAGCTTCAACTGTAGCTCCCAATACTCTACGTCCACAGCCTCGCCGCCCGTCAATTTCTCTTGTATTTGCATTTGCAAGTCACGCAACTGGTCATAAGTTTTGCCTGCAAATATTTTATCAAGATCATTTTTTATTGGGGCAATAACGTTGTTGGTGTCATTTGATGGTTCCGCTTCCGCGCGGAGTTCAGATAATTTATCGTCACAAACCACAATCATGGCCTTTTTAGATTAGATTATTAGAATTTAGATGTATAGAAAGATGATATATCTTAATGGATGATACAATTGATTTTACGTACCCGCCAAAAATCGAGATTATTGGGGTTCTTTTCTAGATTGAGATATAATTGGATATCCTGGTGTAGTTCTTCTACTTCTTGTAAATTAAGATTCTGTATAATTTAATTATTACTTGTTGTTCTTTCTGAATTGTATACACATATAGCAACAAAGAAAGTAAACCGATAAAAGTACCTCAAATATAGTATAAGGCTCGTCAACATCAATTTCAAGCGAGTCATCTACTTCGTCGCCTTCATCTGCCAACCGTAAATTAATTGCAAGAATATCAATTGGCTTTGCACGGTTCTCTTTTATACGGATTTCGGCTCTTCTGTTTGCTTGTTCAAGATGAAACTGTGAATTATTGATAATATTAGAGATATGGCAAAAAAATTTTTGGGTAAAAGAATTAAATTTAATTTATCTACTTCATCTTCCTTAGATGCCCAGTCACCCAATAATGCAGCTTCGGCTTCACGCTGTTTTCTAGCCTATCAACATTTTTCGTATTATTAGTAAATGGAAACTAAAGAATTACTTTAGCTAAACATAAGCTCGCAATAAATAATAAATACTTGTTCTTCCTCGCGCAATTGGCGTTCTATTTCCCTCTCAGCTCTTCTTTTTGTTAATTTTTCCAATTCGAGCTAATATATATACATAGCTTCATTAATAAATATCATCAACAGAAATTCAACTCAAATAAAGTGCGTTGCTTGACATACCCTCGTTTCTTCCCTGCGATTCCGTTCTAATCGCATTGACTCTTCTGAAGAAATTCCCAATTTCTTATCCCGTTCCTTTTTCTTTACCCATTCGAATTTCTGTCCGAGATTAATATCGTTGAATGGGTTATTTGCGTCAGAATAGACAGACATCTCGATAAAGGATTGTTTCTCTTCCTCATGTTTCAGGTGGTCTCTTTTTTCCTTTTGTTAGTTAAAATTTTAGTCATTTTTTTATAATGGTAATCTTGATCGTTTCTATTGATTAAAGTGAAATTCAATTGAGTATTAAATCACGTCAAAATACCTTCTTTTCTTTCTTTTTCCGGCTCTTTTCTTTACCTTTTTTAGATTTCTTACTTCGATGTGACCGTCTTTCTCGTGCATTTTCTTCTTCAGAGTGCGAAGAATACGACACACTTCTTTTACGACGAGTCGACGACGAGTAATGCTCGTCGGAGCTTTCTTCTGATCGAGAAGAATGGTACTTTCTGGGGCTATGTTGAACATCTCTTGTTCTGTGAGAATGAGATTCTTTGTAATTTAAACTATATTTGTGAGAAGCTTCGGCGTGTCGTCTAGAGTGACGCGTAGGGCTTCTAGAATGTGTGCGTGAGCGTGAGCGGTAGCTTGATCTACGGGGACTTAATGATCTAGAGCGGCTTCGTCGTGGCATTGTAGTTTGTGTTTTGATTAGGTTTGAAAACGGTTTCTGTGTTAATGTTTTTTTGGAAATGATCGCTGTCCCATTATTCTCGTCATGAAGAGATCGACAAAGATTTTCACGCTCAATCCTCTAATAATATAAGATAAACTACACATCCCCCCTACCAAAAGTCTTCGGCAGTGTTACGTAATCAAGATTTTCAAAAAAAAATTGCGAAATTTCAAATCAAATTATCGTAACAACTTTCTTTATAATACTCAATAAAATTTATATTACTCGAATCATCTAATCATGAACTTTTTAAATTTAGTATTATAATACATTGTGAGATTGAAAAAGGCAGAATATGATTTATTACTTGGCAACCAATAGACAAAGTAATCCAAAGCTATTTTAAATTGGGATGAAGAACTCTTAAGTTTTGAAGTTAAAGGAGAGTTCATAATCACTCCAGTTACCTGCACTCAACAGAGATCAATCATAAAATTAATCAGTCTTGAAAAAAAACTTGAGAATTTTATTCTTGAGGATGAAGATGATAAGTTTGAATATAAAGAAGAAGAACTAGTTGATCAGTTCCTATACATAATATTTGAAAAGCAAAGTAAGTAGCTTGTATTGAAAGTGAAAGTACAAGAAAATCTTATAAGAATCAATGATAAAGTCATTGAATTAGAAGAAAAAGAAAGAATTCATCAAGAAAGATTAAAAAACTATAATGCTTACATTTATAATAAAAGAGAAAATAATTATATTTAATATAAAAAAGAATAAGATATATATAGATAGTTAGAAATACTATCTTAATCATCATTAAATATTACTTTAATTATAATTAAGTTAGACTTAGATTCAGAATAACAATAATATCTTCATCAAGTTCTGGATTTATATAAAGATTTTTTTAATATAATCCAGCCTGATAGAACAAATATACTTTAATATAAAATATATTTGGAAGAAGAAAGACTTATCATTCTCTGGTTATATTATTAAAAATCATTCATAAAAAATATCTTTCTAAAAAAGAAAATTCAAAAGATGTTGAATAATGGAATAATATCTTCTTCTGATAGTTCTTGATTAGTACTAATAGTAATAGTAAGAAAAAAGAATAGGAAATTCTGATTGTGTGTGAATTACAAGAAATTAAATAAAATTACCAAGAAAGACTGATATTTTCTTTCACAAATTAATAAACTCCTAGACTTTTTCAAGAATATTAAATACTTTATCATCATAGATCTTGTTAGTGAATTCTGACAAGTAGAAATACATTCAAGAGATAGAGAGAAAATAATATTTATTATCAATAAAGAACTATTTCATTTTAATATAATGTCATTTGGACTTACAAACACTCTAGCTATCTTCTAAAGACTTATGAATAAAATATTTAAAGTATATATTAGAAAGTTTATAGTCATATACTTGGATAATATAACCATATACTTTGAAACTTGGGAAGAATATGTGATTCATGTACAAAAAGCTCTAGAAAAACTTTAATAGACAAATCTTAAACTCCAATCAGATAAGTATACTTTTGAGAAAAATCAACTATCTTTTTTAGATTATATTATAAAAAAAGATGAAATTCATCCTAATCTAGTCAAAATAAAAAAAGTGTAAGAATTTCCAGTACCTACCAACATCACATCATTAAAAAAATTTGTAGAACTTGTTTTCTATTACAGGAGATTTATCAAAGACTTTGTCAAGATAGTAACTCCTCTACATAAGCTATTCAAGAAGAATGAAGAATTCAGATAGACAGAAAAGCAACAGACAGCTTTTGAATCACTCAAGAAATATTTGATCTCATCATCAATTATCACATATCCAGACTTTACAAAGCTATTTACTTTTTTCACTAATATTTTTGGACTAGGATTAGATATAGTATTAGTATAATATAATAATAAAAAGAAAGAACACATAATTGTCTATGCCAGTAAAAGAATAAGTAAGAAAAAAAGTAAGTATACTATAACAGAACTAAAATATCTTGAAGTCATTTAGACAATCAAATTATTTAGATCTTACCTACTATTTGATATTCTATTCATGTTAATTACTGATTACTCAGCACTTAAATAATTAATCAATAAGTCTAATTCTTCTAAAAGATTAGCATATTAAATAATAGTCTTATGAAAATATAATTTTAAAGTTAAATACAAATCTAATAAAATCTATTTAAATATTAATTCACTTTCTAGAATATTACACATATCTATAAAAGAAAAAGATAAAACATAAATTTGAATAACTATATAGAATTATATAATTATCTTAATATACTAATTATATCAGATGAATTCTCAAAAGAAAAAAGGAAATGATTGCTGACAGAGACAAAGAAATATTTTATACAAAATTATAAACTATACAAATATAACAAAATTAGAATAATTATATTAGATTTATATTTTATTTTGCAGATTATTACTGCATCACATACTACACTATACATGACTTATTATATCATAATTATCCAATTATATCAAGAAAAGTCACATGATATATTTGAGTTATTTTAGTTATAGATAGTTTTTTTAGTAGAATTTCTCTTTTTTCTTATTCTATTAATTTAACTAGTGTATTACTAAATTTATATATATTATTTATAATCATTTATTTCTTTATTTATTCATTAATAAGTATCTTTCAGAGATATTATTATATAAGTATTATCTATTATTAATTTATTTATTTTATTATTATTAATTTTATGTAATATTAATTTATTATTTAAAGATACTATATCTATTCTATAATTTTAAGTATTAATACATTGAATAAAGAATAAGTTTTAAAATATAATCTCTTATTTGCTTTTGATTTAGTTTTCTATATGAATTCTATCTCAAATATAATATCATATCCTGACTTTTCTATGTGAATTATCTGAATATATTACATTATATAACTAGAAGATTACAACAAAAAAAATAAATAGGATATTAATCATCTATTATTAGTTATAAAATTAACAAAAATAGAATTAGTTCTTTATAATAGTTATTTAAATATTATCTTTAGATATTTTGATATTAAAATTACTTATAATCAAATAATAAGAAATTATTACTGGCTTCAGATATATAAAAATATAAATGCATATATCAAAGTCTGTGATATATATCAATAAAAAGAATGACTATGCAAAAATAACAAAATGATACTTATTCAAGTAAATACATCTTTTGAAAAGATTAAAATCAACTTAGTAGGATCTCTTCTAGTAACTGATAATGAAAATTATTATATTGTAGTTGCTATTAACTATTTCATTAAATAGGCAAAGCAAGACTAATTATTAATACTTCTACAAGTACAATCATCTTCTTTCTCTATAAAGATATAGTAATGAAATATGAATTTTTAAAAGAAATACTCAGTGATAGAAGAACTACATTCATTAATGAAATTATTAAAGAATTATTAGAAAAATATCAGATTAAACATAGATTTTCTACATTTTATCATCCTCAGACTAATAGACTAGTTAAAAAATTAAATTGAACTTTATGTACTTCACTATCAAAATATGTTCAACTTTATAAAAAAGATTAGAATCATTATCTATCTTCAATTCTCTTTGCTTACAGAATAATAAAGTAAAGAATAATCTTATATGAGTCTTTTCAATTAGTATATAATTAACAAACAATCACATCATTAGATATTAAATTAAAAGACTTTGATAATCTTACTTTTGAAGAAGCTCTTATCAAAAGAATATATGAACTAATTGATAAATTAGAAACTATACAAGAACTAGCTCTTAGTAATATTCAAGAGGAATAATTAAAATAAAAAAAATGGTATGACAAGAAATAAAAGTTAATAGTTTTTCGGATAAAACAGAAAGTATTAATGAAATGAATAAAAACTTAATACTAGTATTATGATAAATTTGATAAAAAATGGAAAGGATCATTCTACATATATAAAATATATGATAAAGAAGTATATAAACTTAGAAATAAAAATGAAAAAGTCTTAAAAAATTCATATAATAATGATCATTTAAAATTGTATATTAAGTTTAATAATTTAGAATTAATAATCATCATCAATAATTAAAAAGATTTATAAAGTAAATCTCTTAAAGTTAGAGATTCTGTAACTAATTATCTATTTATATGATATAGTAGATATGGTATAGTATATAGCATAGCCATAGTATGTGATATAATAATTATTGATCACTACTAAATTAGGTGAATAAGTAATTTTTATTAATTAATCTTATTTATAATTAATGCTATTTTTAGTTTATATTATTACCTATATTTAATCTTATTCTTTTATTAATTTAATCATATGTATTATATTTAATTTATAGTTTTAAATTAATAATTTTCTAATTAATTATTATTAATTTTCTTTCTTTTCTCACTTTAACTTTGAATAATCTAATATTTTACTAATTTTAAATTCTTTATTATTATGTATTTAATATTTCTTGTGATTATTCTTTTTAAATTTTATTTACTCTTGATTAAATTAAGTGAAATATCATGTTAGAAATAATTTATAATTAGCATAGCAAAAAAAATATTATATATAGAAAGTTAAGAAATGATTAAGAAGAATAATTAAATTTAATAGAAAGAATTAGTTACTGAGTTAAGAGTAGTTAATTAGTATTTTTCTTAATAAAATATATATTTTATTACATATCTTATCTTATTTTCTTCTTGCTCTATTAAGAGGGTATTTTATTAGAAGCAAATTTAAATAATTATCTTATTAATAAGATAATCATATTTTAGTTAGAAATAAACTCATATAAATTATCTTATTAAGAAGATAATCAGTCATATAATCTCTTAAAGTTATAAAAAGTAAATAATTGCTATTAATATAATTACTATTATCATTTTAAAATAATTATATATATATAATCTTAAAATGATAATAATATTATTTTATTATTTTTATGTAATTATTCTTTTTATTAATATATATCACAAATTTTAATATATGCATTTATATCT